TCATGTATGTGTGCTGGTGACAGAAGAGAGGTGGCCAGCGTGCACGTGTGTGGTGACAGAAGGGCAGGTAAGCAGTCATGGTTATGTGTGCTGCGTGACAGGAGGAAGGGTAAGCAGTCAGGTTGTGCTGTGACAGAGGGAGGTAACGCCAGTGCGGCTATGTGTGCTGGTGACAGAGGTGAGAGGTAAGCAGTCATGTATGTGTGCTGCGTGACAGAGCGGAGCGGCAGTTCATATGTGTGCTGGTGACAGAGGGAGGGTGAAGCAGTCATGTACGTGTGCTTTGGTGACAGAGGAGGTAACAGTTCATGTACGTTTGCTGGTGCACAGAGGGAGGGTAAGCCAGTCATGTATCGTGCTGCTTGGTGACAGAGGAGGGTACAGCAGTCATGTAGGCGTGTGCTCGGTGACAGAGGGAGGGTAAGCAGTCATGTTACGTGTGCTGGTGACAGAGAGGGAGGTAAGCCAGCCGTTCATGTACGTGTGTCGGTGACAGGAGGGAGAGTAAGCAGTCAGTGTATGTGGTGCTGGTGACAGGAGGGAGGTAAGCAGTCATGTATGTGTGACTGGTGACAGAGGGAGGGTAAGCAGTCATGTATGTGTGCTGGGACAGAGGGGGGCAGTCATGTATGTGTTGTGGTGACAGAGGAGGTGAGCCAGTCATGTATGTGTGCTCCGGTGGACAGAGGGAGCGCGTAAGCATGTTCATGTACTTTGTTGCTGCGTGACAGAGGAGGGCATTCTATGTCATGTGCTTGCTGCGTGACAGACAGGGGAGGTATAAGCACGCAGTCAGTTGTGTGCTGGTACAGAGGGAGGGCAGTCATGTATTGTGCTGGTGACAGAGGGGAGGGTAAGCAGTCATGTACCGTGTGGCTGTGACCAGAGGGAGAGTTGAAGCGGCATGTCATGTATGGTGTGCGTGGTGGAACAGAGGGGAGGCGGTAAGCAGTCAGTGTATTGTGTGCTGGTGACAGCAGGTGGGAGGGCAGTCATTGTATGTTGTTGCTGGCTTGACAGATGGATAGGGGTAAGCATGGTCATGCATGTGCTTAGTGACAGAGGGAGGGTAAGCAGTGCATGTACGTTGTGCTGGTGACAGAGGAAGGGTAAGCAGTTCATGTATGTTTGCTGGCCTGACAGAGTGGAGGGTATGCAGCAGGTCATGTATGTGCTAGTGACAGAGGAGGGTAAGCAGTCGCATGTCGACGTGTGTCTTGGTGGGACAGAAAGGAGGTGTAAGCAGTCATGTATGTGTGTGGTGACAGGAGGAGGGTAAGCAGTCATGTATTGTGTGCTGCGTGGACAGGAGGAGGAGCAGTCATGTATGTGTGCTGGTGACCAGAGGAGGGGTGAAGCAGTCATGTATTGTGTGCTGGCTGATACAGAGAGAGCGCGCAGTCATGTATGTGCTGTGGGACAGAGGACGCGGTGAGCAGTATGTACGTGTGCTGGTGACAGGAGGCAGCGTAAGCAGTCATGTATAGGTTGCTTGGTGACAGAGGCGAGGGTAAGCAGCTCATGTTAGTGTGCTGGTGGCAGCAGAGGAGGGTAAGCATCATGCTACGTTGTGCTTGTGACAGAGGGAGGCGGGCAGTAAATGTATGTGTGCTGGTGACCAGAAGGGCAGGGTAAGCATCATGTGACGTGTGCTGGTGACAGAGCGAGGTAAGCAGTCATGTATGTGTGCTGCGTTGACAGAGGAGGGTAAGCAGTCATGTACGTGGCTGCTGGTGTGACAGAGGAGGTAAGCAGTCAGTATTGTGTTGCTGGTGACAGAGCGAGGCGTAAACAGTCATGTATTGTGCTTGTGACAGAGGGAGGGCAGTCATGTATGTGTGCTGGTGACAGCGGGAGGGTAAGCAGTCATGTATGTGTGCTGGTGACAGAAGGAGGGCAGTCATGTACGTGTGCTGGTGACAGAGGGAGGGTAAGCAGTCCTGTGTGTGTGCTATGACGGCCAGGCAGTAAGTGTGACAGAGTAAGAGTAAGCGGTGCTGTATGTTTTGGTGACCTAATGACATAATAGGGGCCATATCGCCTCATAATTATTTCACTTATTGTGCTCGAATCATTATATTCCCTACAGCACGGAATCACAGCCGTTTGTGAGAAAAGTTGCTCATACTACGGCATAGCATACTCTAAGTAGTACAGTACAGTATATACGCACTATAAGTACAAATGCGTCGTTTCGTATTCAATGTATTATTAGCAGCGAGGAAACTGAAGCCCAACAGGGCCAGATTAAGATCCGTGTACTAGTGTCCACGATACTTCTGTTTCATAGGCACAATCACCATATTAAAATTAGATAAGAAACTTTCAATGGAAAAACCCGCGCGTTAGAAAACATGACATTGCAATAGCAATAACAATAGCAACCTTGTGAAAAACCAGAGTAAAGAGTGGTTCACAAACAAACCAATATTACGTCGGCTAACACATTCATTTATTTTGTCTACAGAAAATTAAGTACAACAATCGCATGACTCACACTGAGGAAATGTACTTTACAGATAACAAAGAAAAGCCCAATTTATTGGTTATACCAACGCAATCCCCAATATGATATAGCCTGTTGCATCGGTCATGTTCTTAGGGCTCATTTAAAGGATTAGAGATTAGTAAATATAGACGTTTTGTGACCATAAATAACTAAAAATATAATAACTAAATTTGAAACTTTTAAAACGTTACTTATAATAATGAATGGACAAAAATCATGCTTGAGAAGTGAATAATTACGAAATGCTCTGCTCTTACAAAGACATATTGTATGACAGCTAACTGCCTGCTGATTAAGCAAGCACGGCGCAACAAATTAGCCAGATGCTACTGCACTCCATTGTTATTATATAGCAATGACGTAGTAATGACGCCGTAGTATGTATGTTTATATTTTGTATGTGTTCGAGTTGACTAATAAAGCCAGAGTTACATAACGAATCTGCGACTACTGGCTCTTGGTCTCATTTGGAACCTGACAACCTAACAAGACTATGCAATCTCTGCCGGACCACTCTGCAATCTCTGCCGGACAACGCTGCAATCTCTGCCGGACAACGCTGCAATCTCTGCCGGACAACGCTGCAATCTCTGCCGGACAACGCTGCAATCTCTGCCGGACCACTCTGCAATCTCTGCCGGACAATTCAACGCATTTTACGATACAACACATACACAAGTAATATAATATAATATAATATAATAGTTATGACATAAATAATGTAATAATTAGTTTGAAGGCCTATACGCAGTAGTAACACCTTTAATAATGGCCAATTTCACATCAGAATCGACCCTGTGTAACAGCTTGGTACGATATTGTGACTATAATAGCCTAACCCGTATAACGACCCGTCCAAGGATGATGGCATTACACCAACGATAACTGATGGCACACGTGACGTGCATTCATTGCAAACGCGATCATCCATCACTGTATAATAATTTCAATAACTAACAGCAGATGACGACAACATATTCGCTACTTCCCAACAACATTGGTAAGAGATCAAAATATAGGCCCCCTGCATTGCTATAATCGGATCATAAATGCTCAGCACCGGTTATTTAAGTATATTTTTGTCAAGCATACAACTGTGTACCAATGCTAAATACGTACCACGACACATGGCACACCATACATGGGATTGATTGTCAAACATTTTAGCATTCACATGGGTCACAACCATTAGAAGAAAGTTTCACAGAATGGTTACGAAGACTTTTACATTTAGTAAAATATCCAGTTGACACATTTTAGGTTATATATCTATTCTAATACAAGGTTAACATCTACAATTACACAAAAATATTTAAATACTACATACACACAAAACAACCGGTATAAGAATATAAGCATATGTGCAAGCATTTTTTTTTCTACACGTGTACTATTTTCCAAGTTTGATTTTTTAAATATACAATATTAAACAATACACGTACGGTTGATTATAGCTGGTATTGAATTCGTCACAATCAAACGTACATATTAGGTAGTATACAGCCTCTCTGTGGGTAACAATATGTATGAGATCACGGTAATCTGGACATGTTCTGATGAAATGGTGCTAGATGGATGCTTGGTGCAATACATGCCAACTGTCACATAGCGTGGCTACGATGAGGGTTGGTAACAACGTCTGTTACCTATCGGCAGTTACGACAGTAACCAGCACATCAGTGGATCACCTTAGCTATGCTCACAACCCTATTAACGATTTCAACAATAGCAGGAGTGTATAAAGACCAAATTTGTCATTATTCACCCTGACAAAAGTAAAGCTAAACGTAAAAAAAAAGAAGCTTAAATGAGTAAATGGAAGCCAATAAATTAAGTGCCAAATACAATACACAATGAGTCAAGCATATGTGGTGCACAAAATATACAGTTTTGCAATGACCAGAGCAGGCCCGTAGCCAGGTGGGGGTTTGGGGGGTTCGCACGACCCCCCCCCCCTGAGCAAAAACAAAAATTGACTGAAAAGTAAAATTACGGAGGGCAGGGCAGGGGGGGGGAGCCCAGGTCGCTGCACGGCTCTGGATATGATGCATGCAACGCGCTCGCACCGGCCATCAACCATGTGCTGCTGCAACCACACGATGTAGATCTATCCGGCGAAGGAGAGAAGTGGGTGACCGTGAGTGTGACAATTCTTCAATTTTAAGTCGTCTTTTTCTGCCTTCACGGAAGCAAGCAGTGGCAAGTCTGTGAAAATTGATTGATATGTTTGATATTCTGTATCTTGTCTTCAATTCCTTTAATAAACTGCGGGAAAACAACGTCAATTATTCAATTGACAATGTTTTGTTCCGCCGTGCTCAGGTGCTGTGTCCGAATTCGGAAACTTAAGTTACGGCAATCACCGATTTCGGAGACGCATGATGATGCATAATATATTTATTATTTGTAACACCTGAGGAGCACGACCACGAGCAAGTGATGAGTGATAAGCTAAACTATCACTCAATGTTTTTAGGTGTGCAGGAATGAGCAAAGGGGGAAGACTTCCGAAAATACTCCCCCCCCCCCCCCGAGAGTTTCTCATTTGAAAATACTCGCTTTTTTTTCTTTTGAAAATTTGCAAGAATTTCACCTCGGGTATGCACCAGATCGCTCCATTTTAGGGTAAAAATGGCAAAAGCTCCCTCATGTGGGACACCTTTCCTACCGCTCGGTCGCTTCGCTCCCTCGCTCGGGCACTTCGCGCCCTCAAGCGGTGGACCAGTGAAATAAGTAAACCCTCCCCCCAGTAAAAAAATGGCTACGGGCCTGACCAGAGAGTGGACTAGTATCTTCTCCAGGATTTTCCGGAGAGAACCGGGAATCTCAGTAACTTGACAATAGATGGCGCCACCATGGCAACGAAAATTTCTGCAATACAAGAATGAGGACCAAAAAATTCCCTGAAATTTTCCTAATGACCTCAGCAACTAAGCGGATGGGGCCAATAGGACGACAGCAATTTCTCCAATGTCAGGAAGGAGGTCTAAGAAGTTCTCTGGAATTTTTGTAATGACCTGAGCATCTTTACATTAGACTACGACGACAGCAATTTTGCAATTACCAGAAAGACGACTAGGATCTCTCCAGTATTTCCTTAGTAATATCAGCATCATTTAAATAGATGGCGCCACTACAATGACGACAGCAATTTCTGCAACGATAAGAATAATGCATAGACAATTCCGTAGATTTGTCCCAGTAACATCAGCACCTTTAAATTCCGGTGATGACTGGAGAGAGAGGACTAGGAAACTCTGAGGAATCTTCCTTCATGCACAGCACTCGGTTTCCCTGGCACCCAACTCACTAACCGTGACACGAGCACGCGACTATAAACGCGCGTCCCGGTCACTGCTGGTGGAGCTGGGAGCTGACGAGCGTGCAGTAGAGCCCCCCGGCGGCCAGCAACGCGTCGTGCTTGCCGTGCTCGCTCACGCGTCCGCGCTGGATCACGGCGATGTTGTCGGCGTCGCGCACGGTCGACAGCCGGTGAGCAATGGTGATGGACGTGCGGCCCTGCTGCGCCTTGTCCAGCGCCTCCTGTACGACCTGCACGACGAAGGAACAACGCTGGTTGTGTCTCCGATCAAACGCGGGATTAACGTATGACGAGGAACGCTGCCTCCCACCGTTTCCTTTCACTATGTAACTCATTATTTATTAGTTATTATTAACCACTTAGGTTTTTTCATTATGATTATGAATTTATATTGTTTATATATTGGTTATATTGCTTATATTCTATTATATTACATGATATGACATTACATTGTATTATATATGTATGTATATTATTATTATATAAAGCTATATAAAAGTTCCTGTAATACTCTACTTCACTTATTATTATGAGGGTTCACCCCCCCCCCCCCTGCTCTGTGTGCCCCAAGCAGTGCTGTACGGTTCGGTGAACTCTGGGTGCTGGTGCCATGGAAGCGATAATAACAAATGGAAAAATAAAGGGAACGTACCACAACGCAGAAGAAGCGATTGCACCATGAGTAACATCATCCTCATCTCCCAACTCTCAACTAACTTCCAAACATCTCAACTCATGCCCGCTATGAGGGTAAGTCCCAGTCCCCATCTATGGGCACGCCAGGTAGCAACTACAATATGGGGACGAAAATTCCGCACGCTAACGTTGCCGGAACGTTCCCGATAAGTGTTTGCGTACCTTTTCGCTCGCCGTGTCGAGAGCTGAGGTGGCTTCATCCAGTAGCAAGATGCGCGGGTTTCTGACCAGCGCACGCGCGATGGCGACTCTCTGCTTCTGCCCGCCGCTCAGCTGCGTTCCCTTCTCACCAACATTCGTATCATATCCCTGCGTGCAAGAGCGAACGGAGGCTGCAGCATTACAGCGAGCTTTGACCGTGGCCACATCCTAAACGAGGCTTAGCATCCGGACTACACACTAGAGATCTCTGTTGTCGTGAATACATCTACGAAACGATTATGCAAACATTGAGTAAATAATGAATCTACTCATGAAAAAATATTGCGCTGACACACATTTACATTCCAGAATAAATGCATTTTCAGCAAGATTTTTGATGCATGCGCATAAGAGCACAGATGCAGGTGCATGTATGTGTGAATGTGTGCAAATGCAATTATGTTCAAGCGTGCAAGCGTGTATGTACAAGGGCACGTGCACGTGCACGTGCACTGTGTAGTGGAGCCGGTATGTAGGCCTGTATACGTAGCATGCATGTGGTTGTAAGCACGCATGTGGAAGTAGATACATCTATTAAATACTCACATTAAAAAGTGCTACTCTGGGCCGAGTTAATGCTAACTACGCACCCGTCGGCAGAAACATCACAAACACTTACGACAAGCGCGAGTGTAAAAACTCGCAGCGTTTGCACGACACGCTTCACACGCCGCACGCCATTTCACGCACTCGCGACGTCGTAACCGTTCACGCGTCTCTTGCGGCGGAGACACCCCCGACCGCTCGCGATGCGATGTGGCGTACCTGCGGCAGCGACGAGATGAAGGCGTGGATGTTGGCGTCGCGCGCGGCGGCGACGACCTCGTGCATGGGCACGTCGCGAGAGTTGTCGCCGTACGCGATGTTCGTGGCGATCGTGCGGTCGAAGAGGATCGGCTCCTGCGAGACGAGACCGATCTGTCGCCGCAGCCAGCGCACGTTCAGCTGTTTCACGTCGCGGCCGTCGATCCGCTAGAGAAGAGAGGTGGAAGTTAGGAGCGGCAGTGACTGAGATGATGAGTATCTGGGTTATGTACACCATTATGGGACCCATGATGGCCATATGGCATGTTCAGCTGTCTCACGTCGCAGCCGTCAATCCGCTAGAAAGGAAGAGCCGCAAATTAATAAAACAACGATGTAAATCCGATTCCTAATATGTCACGACTCACGATAAAACTGGCTGCCCCCTCTCCACCCAAAATAACAAACAACAACAACAACAAGAAAGACGATGACACACGGCACAGGTTCAGCTGTCTCGCGTCGCGCCCGTCGATCCGCTAGAGATGAGAGGTGGAGGTTAGGAGCAGGAGTGACTGAGATGATGAGAGTTCTGGGTTATGTACACCATTATGGGACCCATGATGGCCATTAATGTAATAGACAGAGAGCTAGGAGTGACCGAGATGCAGGTTATGTACGCCATTGTAGGATGTCCCATATGGCCAGGTCCCAACCATTGATGTAATAGACAGAGAGCAGGAGGTAATTAAGGAGCACGAGTGACTGAGATGAGTGTGCAGGTTATGTACACCATTGTAGGACGTCCCATGACCTAGCCATTAATGTGATAAGAGAGTTAGGAGTTGTGAGCGCGAGTGACTGAGATGAGTGTTCGGGTTATGTACGCCATTATCATGATTATGGGACCCATGTCCCAGCCATTAATCTGCTAGGAGGCTGATAAAAAGATAGGAGGCTGAAGACTTAGACAAGCGTATCAAGCTGTGTACACGAGATAGTGTCCACATGCATTAGCTATTTTAAAATCATATATTGAAATAATGAAAACGTGCAATACCAATGCAGTAACTAAGCATGTTACAACAACCCAGGTAAAGTAAATTCGTATGTATGCAATTATGATGATTTACTTGCAATGCTAAATGAAAATTCGTTTTTGCGCATTTTTTTAGAATGAATTTTTAACTCAAAATGTGGCATGCTCAATCGCCACGAGTAAAATTTATGTAATCAATATGCAGCCATGTGTTTTGGTACGTGCATGTTCTTGCGATTAGTCCTCCGCAACAACAACAAGACGATGACGACGACGTTAACAACAACAACAACAAGACGACGACGACGTCAACAACAATGACAACAACAAGGTTGAGTTGAGTCAAGTCGAGCAAGGTTTTACTCACAATCACGCCCTCTGTCGTATCGTAGAATCGTTCGAGCAGCTGCACGGTTGTGCTCTTGCCGCATCCGCTGCTTCCCACCAGTGCCATCACCTTACCGGGAGTCACACTCAGGCTGAAGTCCTGCAGAACCTTGACGTCAGGGCGCATCGGGTACTTGAACTCAACGCTGCTGAACTCTACCGATCCTTCGCAAGTATCCTGCAACAATGATGTTCATGCATGTCACCTAGGATGACGATGCCACAAAGGGTTTCAAAGGGTTTTTTCCTAGGGAGGGGAGAGGGTGTTGTTAGAACGATAATTAGTTGTGATAGTAGTTTGAGTCAATGACTGTCGATGTCAAAAACTTGATATTTGACCACAAATAATATGACTTGATGGTTGGTCTGATAACTTTTTGTCATAGATTGTTTTCAGAAAAGAATCAAGTGTACGACAATGATAAATCCTAGCAAATTTGCTTATAAGTCTACTGCGTGTCTCACACTGTCATCTCTTAATAACTTAAGGAGGCAATGAACAAAATTATCCAGAATTATTGCAATTACATTTATACTATATTTGATCATTCTCATGAAATCCTGAATTTTTTGAAACATGAATATTATAACACAAACTGAATCGGATAACACATCAAAACAGATATGTTGATTTGTTTGCTTTAACACTAAACTACAACGAAAATAATAGCGTGTGTGATATCCCACAATATACCATGGATAGCAATGCAACCAATCATCAAATAGTCTCCCATCCAATCAGTGACCCTAGAAGAGCAACTACCAAGTTCCTCCTTATCGTAAGTTAGCTACACTTGTACAACAGTGTACAACGCATTCCTGACAAGGCTATTATCCTACCGTAACCTTAGTTGTAGGTCACTTGTGCTTCACCACAGTCGTAACTTAGTGATTTTTTGACAATGGTAACACAGACAGAAGTAAAAAAACATGCAGTCTAGGATGCACAGCACACGTGTTAGCTTACTGGTGTTTCCCCTGCAGTAGATGATCCATCTATGAGGGGAACACGATCGAACAGCACGGCCAGTCTCTGGGACGATGTCTTTGCCTTCGCATAGTCGGGAGCGAAGCTGCTAGCCTGACCCATCGCCATGGCACCGAAGATGATCGCAGCAAATACTCTACACACAGAGAAATGAATGTGCATGTAGGCAAACGTTTTTCTGAAATGATGTGGGTAGCAAGAATGCAGTTGTCATACCATTGATGTACGGCAGCTGCATTGATTCATCTGCATGATCTTTGTCAGCGAAGTCACGTACGTGTGCATATGTGAGTTTCCTGCTTTCAGCATCCAATCTTACAAGCTAGAGGTCCCAGCCCCGCTCTTTTACGTAAGAACTCATTACACGTGCAAAAATGAATGGCTACATGTAGCGTACCAGATGGGCTACTGTATTGTTCCATCATCGATATTGAACATGAAGTGTCAGTACATGCTTAGAGTAATCATTCTGACTGATGAGTCAGAATGATTACTCTAAGGTGCATGTTATTACAGAAACCTCAGGTTCAATGCCCATCAGTTTTTATTGTTCTACAAAATACAACCACTAATTGAAACCGAGATTAATTTTAGTCTATTAAAAAAGGTTAGATTTAGGATTTGATGGTGCGTGGATCTTCAATGTAGCATGGTTTTTGGAATGTTCATGCCAACCATGTATGGCTGCTCCCGCCCATACATTATTACACCTACTTGAAAACCTTGGTGTAGTCCAAACCCTCGTTTTGAATGAGCACGGATCCGTAGTAGAAGCAAGCCGAATAGGCAAAGAATATGATCGCCTGGGAGAAGCTGAACGCAACTCCATACAAGTGTGCCATTTTCAGCGAGTTACTGATAAATAAAAAAAGGTTTGCTGTAAATATATATTATAATCCTTATAATCCTAAATATGCACAGGTCATGAAATTATTCGCTCCATGTAAATTTGCAATACGGTCATGCGTCGTGTTATGAACTCAGGTAATAAACATACAGTAATAATTACTTTCAGCAGAATCTAATAACAAAATTGAATTCCAGAATTTAGTAGCAACAAAATGTAATTCCAGAATAAGCGAACTTGCTACGTCTGAAAACCTCCACAAAAACAGCTTATCTACTATGTATTCATGATTATAGATGGATTAGACTAAGGCAAAATGAACCTAAATGTTTACCTGTGTGGTTTCACTAGATTTCTTGAGTACTGGTTACAAAAATGTTGTTCCTTTGACAATGAGGCAACAGTTCTGACGTTGTCTATAGCTTCTGCTGCCACCTATAAAAAATCAATATAGACCGAGGCAGCTGCATTAGTATGCCTTAAATTTCCTCACAGCATGGATGGCCAGTACCGTGGTTCCCTGCTCATTTGCTGTGGTGCTTCAAAAATTTGACAATTTCCATGGCAATAAACCACCATGACTGTCGCACCTGGTATATGTCTATACCCTTTCCATACAAAACCTAGTGTGCATGTACCCCAATTAACAAATTACAACAATCCACATAAAAAGTGCTGATAAAAATTTTAAATTTTAAAAATCTATTCCCACATCAGGCATATATATATTAACAGTCTTCGATGCAGTCTACATACTATAAAGAAGGGATAATACTTATAATATCATAAGTACTATCCTTTCTTGACATGAAAAACGGTATGAGCACGGATGCTATGCCATTAAACTAAAAATGCACAACCGGATTAACAACACAAAGCCCTTTACTACAACCCAATTATCACTTAGCTCTTTATAGTAAGCAGTTAAGTTTGTGTGAATTGACTACTCCACGCAAAATACACTGGAAAAGGCGAATAATAACAAAAGAAAAAGCAATCTACCCGAATCGCTGTAATTAAGCTAAATTAATTAGCACTTTAAAAATAATAAATAAGTAAATAAAACCCACAGTTCAACAGTTCGGTAATGCTGTCAAATTCTGTCAAAATTGCAAATGTACCGGCGTAGGCCGACACATCGACCCCGCACCTAACAGCGCAGAGAAATGAAGCACAGCAAGCAGCGTGTGCGTGATGTACCCCTGTACGCGCGCTCGTGTATACCTACCCGCCCGCTCTCCTCGAACGCCTTCTTGTCGGCGTGCTGGTTGCCCGCGAGCATCTTCATCTGCATCGCGGCGCCGACGATGATGAACGGAACGAACGAGAGAATGACGAGCGTCATCTTCCAGCTGTTCACGAAGGCAATCGTCAGGCCGGCGACGAGGTTAGACACACTGTTCGCGAGCGAGCCGAGTCGCACGCCTGTCGCCTGCAAGACGCGCAACATTGTTACATTGAGACGAAACGACAGGACGACGTCGAGATATTACGGCAGCAGTCACGACGCAGCCACCGGCTAATATTAACCAATTAATATACACACGAACGAGTCTGGAACTACTTCGAATTGTTCTGCTACTACTAAATACACTACTAACTAAAAACATCTTAGGGAACAGCGTATGTACTTCTCAAAAAGAATTGTTTTGGACTGCATGTAGCATGCGAACGAGACTGGAACTACTTCAAAAAGTTCTATTACTACTAACTACACTACTAACTAAAAGCATCTTAGGGAACAGTGTGCTTACTTATGAAAAATGATTGTAAGGACAAAGCACGAGGCAGGCAGGAGGTGGCTGAGCACCATGAAATACTGTGACAACACCAATTCAAGTATCGTAGCAATTAACGTGCATACTTCTTAAAAACGCTCGTAAAATAAAACGAGCGAAAAAGAAGGCCAGATGACACAAAACGCTGCTAAACCATCGTAGAAACGTGCTCATCTTATCAGAACACTCGAAACAAGCAAAATATGAATATACTATCTAATTTATTATTATTAGTAGTAGTAGTAGCAGTAGCAGCAGCAGCAGCAGCAGCAGCAGTAGTAGTCGTAGCAGCAGTAGTAGTGTTTTCTATACTTTTTAAATAATACACAGTGTAATATAAAAAATAGTACAATAATATCGAATAAAATATAAAGCATAGCGTGAGGTACAGTGAAGCGAGCAGACAACGCGTCACTGGGCTAATGCTCAGACGCTTAGCCATGGCTAAGCCTTGCCGGCATGGCGGGCCTATGCGATGACTCACCCCCTGCACGTTGGCGCTGTCTGTCGCGAGGCGTGTGAGCAGAGCTCCGACCGTGTTCTTCTTGTCGTCGAACCAGCCGATCTCCTGCTTCAGCATCGACGTGAAGCCCATGTAGCGCACTCGCATCGTCAGGTTCTCACCCGAGTAACCGAACAGGTAGCCCTGAAACACGCGCGCACTTGCATCGTCAGGTTCTCACCCGAGTAACCGAACAGGTAGCCCTGAAACACGCACGCACTCGCATCGTCAGGTTCTCACCCGAGTAACCGAACAGGTAGCCCTGAAACGTGTGCCGACTCTCGGGCGTGAAAGGCAGGTACACAACACACCCTTCGGCATCTGCGTGCTTAACTTTTGTGGATTCAATTCATCAGATTTTCTATTTCCCATTCATTTCAGGAATGGGCAGAGAATACCTTTCCGTACAGCAAAACCTTTCCGTAAAGCAAATTTTTTTTTGTTGGATGCGCAATCCGAGGAGGGAGCAATGCGAGCACCGAAGGTGATCACCATGCTAGGGGGGGTCCAAGGGTATGCTCCCCCCCCAAAAAAAAAAAAAAATGGTGCAACTTGGTGCATTCTAAGCTATTCTGAACACATTATATGAGACTCTTGAATCACTTTTTCAAGTTGTCAAAAGGAACAAACAAGCTTCTGGAAAAGGTTTTACTTTCGTTTTTCTCCTCCCCAGTCCTCGGTACCCCCATGCATATATGAACTTATTGTTATGCGGTCATAAAAACACTGGGCTACGCTACAGGCAGCAATCGATTTCTTAGACTGTCACGGGGTTTTGTTCGTGTGGTGAATCATGCGTTGAGGGAGTTCATGCCCTCGGCTCTAGATGTTTTGGGTATGAATGCGTATGTATTAGAATGCGCTCCCGTTTACAAGTCTGTCTAAACTGCCGTTGCGATAACCGTAGTATTTCAGCGTAATATGAGGAGAAAAAGTGCCGGTCCTCCTCAGTTTCGTACAGATGTTGGCCGAAACAAAAACTTGGTGGCCTCGGGCCTCCGGGTTGGCACTAATTTCGAACGCTGTCAATAAAATGTAGTTTATTGATAGCAGAACAGTGATTTTCGTCAGCGAGGCGGTGTTTTTGGATAAATTTCTGCGTGGCGGGTGAGATTTGAGCGAGGCGGCCGTCTCGCTCGTGTCAATGCAGGTGTTAGAGCAGAACGGAAACTGCGCTTACCTGGAGAAACATTGTGATTCCAGCGGCGACGCCGATAAGGAGAAACATGAGCGAGTATAGGTTGGATTTTCTCTCCTGCTCGTTAATGTCCGGTATAGAAAACACCTGCAGCAAACAAGCACATTGTCGGTTAAGGGCCTAGCAAACCCTTTAGTAACAAAAATGGCAAACTAGAATTCACATGGTTACGTTCCAAGGTGGAAAGCACTGCACTCAAGATATAAAAGCTGCAGATGCCCAACCTGTTTAGTCCATGTTCTTCCGGAATTGATTTTTCAAGCAAGCTAGCAATAAATTAACCCTTGAACATTGGCGAGAAATTAAGAACATAAGTTGCAATTAACCCGGGTCCCCACAAACCCCCCGCAAACACAATGGTGAACAACGACATGATGGCGCTGTTCAGAACCTTTGGAGATCGAAGAAAAAGTTGAGAATGCAAGAACAAACCCCGGAAACACCCGCGAAGACGAGAGAGAACAACAGCAAGCACGACCGCGCATTCAGAACCTTCGGGAAGATCAATAGAAAAACCGAGGAACACGAGTGTGAAACAAACCACGAGACAATCCACAAAGAGAGAGGCAAACATCGATGCGAGCGCACATTCAGGAGTTTCTGGGCGATCGAAAGAAAAATCCGAGAACAAACCCCGAGAACTTCCGCGAAGATGATTGCGAACATCGGCATGACAGCTCCGTTCGCCGCCGCCGCCACGCAGCCGACGGAGATGTAGGGCCACTCGGGAGCGTTCAGCTTCATTAGACGCATCATGTCGACGGGCGGCAGGCTCTTCAGATCCTCCTGTGCATACACAAGCGCGCGTTATCACTCGCGATGACATCAGATCGTAGTCGACTAAATTAATATCGCACGGCTACTGTCACGATGACATCAGATCGCCGTGACATATTTGTAACGAAAGGTGTGTCAGTCGAGTTTCCGTACGTCGTATATTGTACCGATGCCACTCGTGGGTACAATATATGTGGGTACAAAAAGACGGTTTGAAAATTAAATGCCAAAGATTTAAATAATAATATGCACCGTAGCGGGCGTCGTGCGTCAGCGCTGCATTCGCGGCAGACCGACACGTGTAAGATCGCACCGTTCTCACTGCAGAGTAAGGCCAGCGACGTCGCGCCGGGAGACACGTCGGCACCGGCGGATCTCATCGCTAACACGCTCTGCACCGTTCTCGCTACGCGGCCGCGGCTCATCTCGCAGGGTGCAGCGCGTGGACAATCGGTCGCGGTGC